TACCCGATGTTACAACAATTGTTCAAAATTTTATCCACCAATGTGTAAACACATTTGGGTCCGTTGTACTCAGTTTCTACGAACTAACATAAATGTTGTCTTGTTTCACCATAACACAAATGCTTCACCATAAATTAAAACGATATCCATCAACTTCGAGTACACGCAAACTATTTTTGACACAAACTACCCATTTTTGACACTAACTACTAAAAACCTGTTGTAAACACCACATATAGCAACGACGATTGCAAAATCCGAATTCAGTATTCGGAGTCGCTGAGGCCACGTGGCGAATGACGCTAGAGACTACAGTTGTCCAGCTATGTAGTGGTTGAATGTACTATAACTTCAATATTTTTTTTCTCGGAAACTAAGGATTTTACAAAAATTTTTTTTACGATATTGATTCCATTTCTCATGCTGCATCTATTCCCAAATTTTTTTGGATAAGTTGTGAATCACCCTGTATTATTGTCTGTATTGCTACTCTTCCCGATGCTGACTAGGGATAGTCTCATTTTGAAAAATGGTATTCAATCATATATTACATATTAACTATGGATCTATTAGGATTTTATTTAACTTAACAAAAATCTGTGACATATGGCTTTGTACCTTTATTTGCAACAATATCAAACTTTATATTTTGCCAAACGAGCAGGGATTTGTGACTAAACGTTCTGTTGTATCTAACCTAACGAAATTGTTCACTCAATTTGTCTCAAATCACCTAGACATCAAGGATCAAGTTAGATCAATATTTAGCGACTTTTTATAGTGACAATTTGCATTTTCTTATTAAATCTATAAACCTAAATTGTGGTTCGGACACCCGCTTCAAATTAAAATAAATTATTGACTACCTCAGGCATGTATCAATGTTCTAGTCTAGGACCTCTTCTTTATTATAATTATAAACCGTCTACACTGTAATAAAAAGTATGGTAAAATTCCTTGAACTTTCCATGCTAACCTGTTGCCATTGAATCTTTAAGTAAAATTCATGTAACATTTATGTAATATGAAATAAAACCTGTGAAATATATATTGATTATACATGAATATTACTTGAACATTCCATGGCAACGGGTTACCATGGAAAGTTCGAGGATAGCTTAATTTGAAATGACATTTAACGTCTGGCGAATTTGCTTTGATGTGATCAATAGTTTGAAAATGGCGCTGATTTTAATTTCGTAAATAAGAAGTAAACGCAAAGAGTTCAGGTCTGGAATCTGATTTTTGGCACAAGACCTGGCGAATTCACAAAGCTGAGTGTGCAGATGCATTGTCATGGTGCAAGAACCATAAGTTGTCACACCACAACTTTGGTCTCTTTTTGAGGAGTTTTTCACGTAACCGTTGTACAACATCTTGATAGTAGACTTGGTCCACTGTTTCACCTTAAGAATTCCAAATGCACAACTCCATCAAAATTGAAAAAATCACTGAGCAACACTTTGACATTGCTTCGAGACTGACATGCTTTCTTGGGGCGTGGAGATCCTTTGCCAATCTATTGTGATGATTGAACTTTTGTGTCAATGTCGTAGCCGTAAACTCAGCTTTCTTCTCCCGTTATGACCCTTTGAATTAATGTTACATCGTCATTGGTTTGTTCAAGGAATTGCCGACAAACATCCACACGATTTTTTTTCTGTTGTTCGGTCATCACACAGGAGTAAATTTTGGTGCAACTGGAGGCATGTCAGTCAAAATTTCATGGCATGATCCAATTGAGATGCTAACCTCTTTTGCAATATCAAAATTACCTGGTCTAGGATCATCTTCAGTTAAATGAGATCACTTTTAAATCGCGAAAACCATTAGCAACATTGCATCATCTTCGTAAGCTTGTTTGAAAAGTAGAAACGTTGCCGTAAAAGTTTTCCTAGCTTCACGCAAAATTTTACGTTGCCTCGTTGTTCCAGAAAATCGCACATTTCAAAAATCGTCACTAACACTTAAACACGTTGCACTCAAATAGCAATATCGCCAAAACTAAATAAAAATGGGAATCCAAGAACATGTGGTTACAGAGGAAGTTCAGCGCAACGTACTGCTCCCTACCGCATATATCTCCATTGGCACATAATTCTAAAAGTTCAATTATTTTCTAAATAGACCTCGTACGGGTACTAAATTTATATTTAAATTCGTGAAGTTCAAAAAACTCAAAATCGTTTGTTAAAACACTTATCGTATCGATCACTTTTAAAAGATAAAAAAAGATAATATGTTTTCTTACAATGCCCATGTAATTTTTTTCTCAATGCACGTCAAAGTGCTTTTGTTGTAAGTTCGAGTAGGAAAGCATATGTCACAATATATTGAACAATGTACAAGATATTATCCGATTTATTTTACTTTTACAAATAAGAAATAACCCCTCGGGTTATACACTTGTATTTATGTATGAGCGGATTTTATGAAAATTTCAGGAATAAGAAATGTATTAAATTGTATAATTGTTTATAATAAATATGATAATTTATATTTATATAATTTAGGGTGGCCCAAAAAAAAAATGAATATTTTTTTCGTGTCTCTTGTGAAAATATGTTAGTTTATCATGTTTTAAGAGCCCCCTCAAAAAAAACAGCTCCAAAAAAATTTTTTTAGAGGTCGCTCAAGATTTTTAAAAATTTCCAAAATCGTCAAAAATTGATTTTTTTTTACAAACAAAAGAATATAAATAAATCACGAGACACTTAAATTTTAAAAAATTTAAAAATTATAAATATTTGATACAGTGTGGTAGTAAATTTTGCCTCGAGAAATGTTTTAAGTTTCTTGTGATTTATTTCTATTTTTTTGTTCATCAAATTCAATAAAAAAAATTATTAGTTCGTTGATATTTATTTTTAAAGGTCGCTCGAAAACATTTTAGGTACACTACTTCTAAAGTTAAATTAATTTTATGAATGACCTTTAGGAATTAAAATATCGATTTGAAATTTTCAAAATTGAGATTTTTTTCAACCTAGAAAATGATAAAATAACGAGAAAATTTTTTTTTTTAAATCAATTTTTGACCACTGAAATTTTTTTTAAATCTTGAGCGACCTCTAAAAAACAATTTTTTGAGGTGATTTTTTGAAGGGGCTCTTAAAACATGATAAAGTAACGTATTTTCACAAGAGACGCGAAAAAAAATTCGTTCCTTAGGGCCACCCTAATATACTTATAATAAATGTTTATTTTTTATTTTTCGATAATTTACGAAAAACGATCTGATCGAAGAGATTAGGGAGATAAATATGTAATGAAAACTAGGTATATAAATAAATTAAAATGCTGATGGAAATGGCACCAGACTTTCCATTGGGAACAATAAAAGGGAACGCCGACATAGTCGTAAAGGAGAATTATTTTGGAGATTGATGTGTCCCTTTTGTTTTCATTTTTTTGAGATGGGTGTCGATATCCAAATAATTGGACAAGGAAAATAAGCATCTAAAGTAACATGTGAAATATATACAAATCAAATTAAAGTCAATTAAATGGTGGTTGATTGGTGCAATGTAGGAATAGCTGTGGAAAACAATAAAGTAGGTACCACGTTATTAATGGCGGACAATTTTATTTTTACACAGAGAAAAATAGTAGCAATTATCGAAGAAATCCAATGAGAAACTAGCAGCCAACTAATGCTACCTAGTGAAAATAATTACTATATTAAATATTTAATAAATTTTAACTTGGAGAACTCCAAATACCGCCAATATATTAAAAACATAATTTTGATTAATTAATGAATAGTTAGTATATATTTTCCTTACATTCCTATTTACCTACATGTACCTGAATCTAAAAACATATCTTCCTCGTTAATTACTATTAAACACATTCCGTTATCTGCTTTAGGTATAATTATTAACTTTCCACTTAGAAATGTATTTTATGATGACTAATTTAACAGTTTTGTTAAAGGTTAATGTTAAATACTGAAATGTTATTTAATATAGGCAATTTTTCTGGGATTTTTTAGGATTAGAAGCTTCCAATGTACACATTTATAATTTATTAACAACATGTTAATGTTCTTTTTTTTGTGCGTTTGAAAAAATTGCGGATCTTTCCAAAATTTCATTTGAAGCTCCGTAGACGGCGCGATCGATATGCAATCGCTCCGGAGCCGCTACATCGATGTCGGCAAGAACGCGAACGAGCGCGAGCGCTATACGTTTCCGACATCGCCGATATTCCCAAAATTCGACCATCGGGCCCTCAGGGCGAGAAATATCACACCGAGAGTATTCCATTCCATCGAACGACGACGACTACCCGTGGTAAATCTACCCCTAAGGTTGCCGATAAGAGCCATGATGGAAAAATTTTCGACTTAGTTTCGAAAAATTAATGAAGGGCTGCAAGTGCTATACAGAGTGAACAAAATAAAACCCGAACCATAAATATTTCCAAAGTGCCCAAATTTGGAAAAACACAAGTGTCAGTGCTTCCAAGGCATCTTAGGCCACACCATCCACTCAATTAGGTTGTGGACCTGAGCATATCGAGCGCTACAATGGCGGAGGATCGTAAATTTAATTTTGCCTTTTTGGCGACTTCAAGGTCTCACGTCAAGAGAGAATTACATGAGATACCGGGGAACTTCTTCACCAGTGAGCAGGCTTCTGACTACCTAGCACAGAGTGTGAAAAGGAACACAATCCAACCGATCCCATTATGAGAGTTTATGACCCGCTCATGATGTATAGAGAAGAAGCAAATAGGTCATCGCCACCAAGAGCTAGCGGAACCGAGCCAATTCCGCGTCCTGGCGCCCAATGTGAGGCCACGACCGAGGGCCATCAAGCGATCCATTTGATACCGCGACAATATCTTAATTTTCAATATATCATAGAAGTAGATATTTGAAGAAATCAATTCGAAATTGTATTTACTTTCTATGACAATGTTAATAGGAAACATATACAATTAAATTGATTACTCTATAATTATTATTAATACATACTTTATTAGAATGGACTTACCGTTTTTCAGTTTACAGTTCGAAACTACATCGTTCATCAATTCCTTATTTTTCTGAAACAAACGAAAACGTTACACAGTTAATAAGAAAAGCACATCAACTAAGTAATCACATCAATCACTAAAATAATAGAAACGCGAATGACCTGGCGTTATTATTTTATCGCACGTGCAAGTACACATAATTAGAAGGAATTCATTTACTATCGTTTTGTAAAAAATAACTCCCACTACACTATCATGTGATAAGATATAATATACTGTAAATAATGTTACGTTATCTATAAAATAATCTGATAAAGTTTTGGTTAAATGTTTTGTTTTACTACTATTTATACTAGGTCATTTTTGATAATAGAAAATGAATAATAAAATTTTAATGTATTTGGTGCAGAAAGTGAACTATCAATGTTACTGTTTTAGTCAATTTACAATAACATACCTACGTCGTCCAATGAACATCCATGAATTTCAAATGAGGAATCAGTGTACAGGGTTATTCATATAACATTTTACCACCGTTAACTATTTTATTTTTTGAGCTAGACAAAAATAAGTTGTAGGGAATCTTGCTGTGAGTTTATGAAAATAGAAATTGTACAGAGCGTTTCAAAGATAGTAACCAAACTTATGTTTTTTTTTAAATGGAATACCCTGTATATTATTCGATTTTCGGAATCTCTGCTTCTTCCTGATTCCAGTAATATATATATATATATATATATGTTGCGGGTTTACTTAACAATTTGCTCAATATTCTGCTTTGAAAGACTGAATCTCGCAATGGCTAGTATAAAAATTGCTATGGAAAATAAAATAATAATATTAGATATTTTAAATAAGTAGTCATAAGAGAATCTTCAGAGTTTATTATCGAATTCATATACATATTATAAACTTTCAATAATTGCTCTATCATGTGCAAGACAAAGGTTATACCTTTTAATTAAATTTCTCTTAAAATTATTGACTTTACCAGATTCATTTAAAATGCGAATTTCTTGAGATATATTTCTCTTATATACTCTATTCATTAGAGTATCCCAGAGAAAAAAATCTATAGGGATCAAGTCTGGACTTCGGGGAAGCCAAAAAAGTTATACCTATCCAGTCAATAAACCGCGCGCACACGGTGCGGTTCGTGCGCAACTCGAAAACCCCGTACTAATCTAGAGAACTTGCTGCAAACGCGCGGCGCGCGCTCGGAGCGGAGCGCAGATGTATACACACCTTTACATCTGTCAAATTTTCGGTTCTATGAGAACATATTTATTCTACAGGGTGGTCCGAATTTTATGCAGGAAACTTCAAGGGCAAATAGATCTCTTTAAAATAATAGCTGTTTGCCTTATAAACATAGGTCTGGAACGGCCTCGTTTTAGAGATACAGGGTGTTGAAGTTGTTAAAAAAATGTAATTTTTTGTTTATATCTCCGGAATCTATTAACCGATCTGAATAAAATTTAGTACAGATAATGTATGACAGTAGGCCTTGCATTACCTAAAATATTAGCTCTATAGGTTAAACCAGTGGTGTACAACTGGACAGGATCACCCCTTTTTTATAAAAAAAACCTACGCCACTGTATTTTTTACAAGTTATTGTAACGGATTTATATTCTAATGTACAAAATACGTAAAATAGGTAACTTGAATTTTTTCCGTAAATTTCACCGTTCTCAAGTTATTCATACCAATACAATCCCCTTGTGGCAGATACTTCTAACCATAATATTACAATAGTATATATGTTTATCGTTAAAAGTAAGTGCAATTTGTAAGCACTTCAACAAAATTCTTTACACTTGCCGCTTTCATCTTTTTGGATTAAAAAACGTCTCAGCAACTCGGGATGAGTAAATCGAAATTTTGAAAAGTTCTACATAAAGATGGTAGAAATCCGTACCATTTACAACCTGTGCAAAATTTACTTCCGGAAGATGCAGAGAGACACCTAAATTTTTGTCAGTGGTTGTTAGAGTCACAACATAGTCCAGAATTCTTACTAAAAATACTTTGGATCGATGAAGCTACGTTCAATCCTCATGAAATTCGAACAAGATCTTTTCAAGAGGAATTTTCTGTGAAAGTGTAGCTCGGAATAATTCGCAATAAAGTTTGTGGACCTTTCTTCTTGCTACCATCCAAATTCCCAATAATTTCTAAACTCTCTAGAAAACCATCTATTTGAATTATTACTTTCAAGCATAAACATAAATATTCTTTTAATATTATGGTTTGAAATGTCTGCCAGAAGGGGAATATATTGGTATGAATAACTTGAGAACGGCGAATCTTAGGGAAAAAATTCAAGTTACCTTTTTTACTTATTTAGTGCATTAGAATATAAATCCGTTACAATATGTTGTAAAAAATACAGTGGCGTAGGTTTTTTATAAAAAGAGGGCGGCCCCTGTCCAGTTGTACACCACTGGTTGAACCTCTAGAGCTCGAATTTTAGAGAATGCAAGGTCTACTGTCATACATTATCTATACCAAATTTTATTGAGATCGGTTAATAAATTCCGGAGATATAAACAAAAAATCATTTTTTTTAACAAATTTAACACCCTGTATCTCTAAAACGAAGCCGTTCCAGACCTATGTTTATAAGGCAAACACCTATTATTTTAAAGAGATCTGTCTGCCCTCGAAGTTTCCTGCATAAAATTCGGACCACCCTGTATATAGCGATTTCGATATATTTATGGTTCATGACGAGATTCAGTCTTTCAAAGCAGAATATCGAACAAATTGTTACGTAAACCTACAACATATATACACCGTTGGAATCAGGAAGAGGGAGAGATTCCGAAAATTGAATAATATATAGGGTGTTCCATTTAAAAAAACATAAGTTTGGTTCGTATCTTTGAAACGCCCTATATCATTTCTGTTTTCATAAACTCATTAAACTCGCAGACAGATTCCTTACAACTTTTATTTTAACTATTTTTGTCTATCTCAAAAAATAAAAAAAGTTAAGGGGGTAAAATGTTATATGAATAACCCTGTACATACAGTCTGTCCAAGATAAGGATGGGATCGCATTAGGATCTAGAAAACGGTAAGAGATATGGGGTGACTCAAATTAGAAAAAAGTTATGTTTTTTATACCTAACAATATGCCGTTTAGAAAGTTTTAAAGTTCTGGGTAGTTCCGGAGATATCCGGAAAACCTGAAATTTTGAAAAATCGTTTAATTTTTTTTTCTGGCTTTATTTGAAAATGAATTTTAAAATAAATGGCATATTTACATTGCCACTTTTTCGCTCTATCCAATGGCGTCAACATTTTTGCAATCCGACGTTTCGTCTTCGAGGTTAATTTTTTTTAAAAACGTCGCTGCTATTTTTATGACAAAATCTAGTCATTTTTAATTCTAAATTAGATTATATTAGTATTGTAATCGCTTAAAAAGGTTTTCAGCTTGCTTTAGCTATCATTCAAAATTTTTCGTGAGTACGTCTCTGAACGCTATCAAAATATGTTTTGGAGGAAGTCATAACAGTATAAAAGTCAATACAGCACAAAATATCCAACAATTTTTTAATCAAAAATTTAAAAAAGTTAAAAAAAAAATAATATTTTATTATTTCTAATTAGTATTGCTAATAGTAGTAAACAAAATTATTGGATATTTTGTGCCGTATTGACTTTATACTGTTCCTCTAATAGATAGCTAAAACAAGCTGAAAACCTTATTCAGCGATTTCAATAGTAATATTATCTAATTCAGAACTAAAAATGACTAGATTTTGTCATAAAAATAGCAGCGACGTATTTAAAAAAATTAACCTGATGATAGCCCCTCGAAGACGACACATCAGATTGCTAATATATTGACGCCATTGGGTAGAGTAAAAAAAGTGGCAATATGCAATGTATTTTAAAATTCGTCTCTTACCGTTTCCTATATCCTAATGCTATCCCATCCTTATCTTGGACACACTGTATGTATATGATAATAATATGAATATATATTATTATTTTTTAAATTCTTTGTTCAAATTATTTTATTTTTATGAATTATAAAAAAATGTGATTTGCACGTTCTTTCTAGAAAAAATACGTCTTCTCAAACAATTCCTTACATGATTTTCGTCGTGAACGGTAATTACGCAGTCCCACATAAAAAAAGGTTCTATACCAAAGTCATTAGTGCATAGATCTTGTATAGTTTTTGATGTTGAATTCGAATCCGCAGCCCAAAGGCCGATTTACTGTTCACATTGAAAATCATGTATGAATCAAGATAATCATTATTTGATTTTCTTCACAGAAATTGAAAAATATAGCGTGCATCTGGTTAAAGGAAAGTCCATTGCAAACCACAATTAAATATCAAAAATGAGGCATCCGTCAGATATGGTAAAACAAGTACAGCGGGAAAAACACGTCATAAATTCCGATTATCCAGACATCCTTTCGTTGACCATAGTATGTCCTTGTGCTGTTAGAGTTATTAATGTACGACTGAAAATATATATACTTAAAAACTAATAAGTAATACTGTTTATTTATTGATAATGTAAAAAAGCAAAACAAAAAATGAATATCAATGTAGATGTTCAAAATGCTCGCCGCGAACGTCTTGGCAACATTTCATATCAGTAAAAAGGAACGTTGAAACGGTTTTTGCTTACTTTCTCATGATCAAGAGCTAAATGGGAAATAAGTATTGAGTATTGTAGCGAATTTCTGTAATCAAATAATTTTCTTTTTTTAATGTCAATTTTTGCAATAAATCTGAAAACACTTAATATTTCCGAAACAGTTGAAGATAGGTGTAGGTCATTGTACATGAAATATGTCTAGAATTTTCTGAAGAATCCAAAAATTTGATAATATACAGGGTGTTGCATTTAAAAATAAAAAAGTTAGTATTGACCAATGTTACATGACACACCCTGTATAAAAATATTTTGTTGAAAAAAATGTGCAACTAAAAATACCAATCGACGTGTCGGAGCGTTTTTACGAACACGCCCCCATTTATTTATTATCAAATTTATTCCATTTGGCTGATAACTATATACAGGGTGAGTCAAAATTCACTCCCCAGCCGCCGGATATATATTATAAAATAAAAAATAAAACAAAAATGTAGAATACTAAAATCTCGAAAGCGGAGCCGTTTTCAAATAAATTATTAATTTTAGTTCAATAAATGCGCAAATTTCGACAGACTAATCAAGTTGGCCGGACAAAAACAAGTAGTTTTCAATGACCACAACCTTCATTATTGGCATTATGAGAATCCCCATGAAAAACGTCAGCGGAATCAGCAAAGACATTGGTCTGTAAATGTTTGGATATTTATTTACGGGAAAAGGATCATAGGTCCATATTTTTTGCCAAGAATACTAATGGTGAAAATTACAGTAATTTTTGCGAGAACATTTTGCCAGGTTTGATAGAAGATATTCCTCTACAACAATGTGCAACTACATATGTGGTTTCAGCATGAAGGTGCGCCCGCACATGCCACATTACAAGTACGACATATTTTGAACCTAATAAATGGATTGGACGGGGTGGACCAACACCATGGCCACCTCGGTCTCCTGACTTGATTCCGATAGACTTTTGGTTATGGGGATACATAAAAGAAAAGTTTATTTCACTGTGCCTGTTGGCAGGATTCATGAAGCAGTAGCGGAAATAAATGAAGCTAATTTCTGTTCTGTTGCCAGGAGTTTCTACCACAGATTGCAGAAGTGTATTAACGAAAATGGTAATGGTTTTGAAGGTTAGCCAAAGCCAGAAGGATCTTTGTTCTTGCTATTTCTTATTTTGTATGGATTTAAATGGTGGATTTTAATGGTGTTAATATTAAACAAAAAAATTATAAATTTGAATTTTTCTTTACAAAATTTTCCGAAAACGGCTCCGCTTTCGAGATTTTAGTATTCTACATTTTTGTTTTATTTTTTATTTTAGAATATATATCCGGCCGCTGGGGAGTGAATTTTGACTCACCCTGTATAACTATTTCGGCCCTTATAGAATGGTTCCTCAAAGTTTCTTGACGTACATAACTAACACCCCATACATCATAAAGGAGGAGGGTGAATATTTTGTTTTTCTTTTAAATTTTTTAGCACAGAATTACGTCTCTTCTACAAAACACCAATATTAGTTACCCAGTCTTGACTATGAAATATTTTATTCACACGCGTTGTCCTCAAAAAACATTTTTCAAACGTTGTTCTGGTTTTTTAGGTTTTCAAATATGCAGTAATTTCCTATGAGTCGGCAGTACTATACCGTCAACTATGTATGCAATATATTGGTTACTTTCAAAACTCAACGTTGATGACTTTAACGCAATCTCGTTCTTACAAAAATTTTTTATGCATATTTTAGAGAGTTTTAGGGAGTGGAGCTTCCCTGAACAAAGCTTGAAGTATGCAGCAATTTCTATTATATTTTGAGATGTAAACTTCTTTTAAGAAACGAGTCATTTTAATGTAATTTTTAAAATATTTAAATTTTCAAAATTATTTCTAAAATGCCTTGTTTCTCACATACATTTTTTAGTAATATAGCTGTTAGGAATTAAATTAATCTATAAATCGATTCTATATTATTACTTCAGAAAAATTTTAATAAATGTGATTTTTTTTAACATTATTGTACGTATATCAAAATTCAGTGGTTAAACCATTGATTCATGGGTCAACCTACTAAAATTATAACTTTAATATTACGACGTATATATAATATATAATACGTAGGTATAGCAACTTATATATGAAACTGAAATCTTAACATCTCTGTGAATCTTAACATTTGATGTTAGCGTTACATAAATTTCTAACGTTTTAAGCACATTAATTAGAAACAACAGGTCTAAAATTAATATCTTACCTCCCATATTAGCCTGAAATCATGTTGTTCGACACGTAGCAGTTCGCATGTTGTTTGTGTTACAACAGTTGTGTCCCGTGGCAAATCCTGCAGAATCGATTCTCCAAATGTTGCACCTACTCCTAATGTACACAGCGTTACCGTGTTCTGAAAATAAAAAGTTACTTTCATTATTTTTCAATAAATAGAGATTAAGAACAGAGTATTACGCGTATGAACATGGTTTCTTTTTACTTTTCTGATTTGTAATTTATTGCTTATTATTAAACATTTCTATCACAATTATTTGAAATTAATTCCACATTTGCAAAGCAAATGCAACTGTCATTTATGATCATTTTTTAAGTAAAATTAAATATAGGTGCTGGTTAAAAGAGTACCTATTCTAAATAATCTGGTATTTAGTACATTTGTACCTAAAGTGGAGTTAATGTCCCATTTTTCATTCATTAGCGATAAATATACCATCCTACTTATGTCGCATTTTAGTATTAACTTAACTTAACACAACCAACTGTCCTTTTCAGGTATAGGACGGTATCTTCTTTACTAAAGAAATTGTACCCAAAATTCGATATTCATCACTCAACTAGGTACTTCAGATAAAAAATTATATAAATTTGTTACATTACTTTTGCAAGATCTATCCACAGACAATATAGCTTATCGCCCCAGACCGCGCTTTAAATGCTGGAAATTAACAACCTTAAAAGGATGCAGGGTCTTGTTAGCCGGCACACAGCAATAAAATTTAGCGTGGTAACTTTTTTACTAGGTAGAAACAGATAAAAACTGCCAAATAAATTTAATGGATTTAATTATGTAATTGAAAGGTTATATGGGACTTATCTTTTGTTTGAAAATGACATTTGTGTTAAATGCTAAATAAAATAAATAAAAAAATGAAAAAATGTGAAATTTCCTTAAGAATAGTACCTTAATTTTTTATTTAACAAAATTGTTGGAACCTCAAGGGGTGGTTGATACGAGATTTATTTAAAAAAAAAAACAACAAATCATCAATTAATGAGATAAGATAATGCGTTCGCTACTGTTGTTGCAATTATTGACTAACTTTTTTGCTTTTCGACATATGGACTTCGGACCTTTTGCATTCAACACAGAACTAACAATCAGAACCTGGGATGTTGGGGAGACCACCGTTTACGAGTTATAAATACTTTTTTATTCTATGATGTCACACACCGTTGGTCCCAATTTTTTTATTCGACATGCGGAATTCAGACATTTTTCACTCGATGACCATTCAGAACCATGGGAGATTTTTTGATATTTCTATTCATTTGCGAGGTATAAGCAAATACCGTTTCTTTTCTTTCATATATTATGACGCCCCGCTCACCCACCGAGTGCTCTACTTAGAACCAAGGGGAGCTTTTCTATCTCTCTCGCACACAATCAGACAAAAATTACAGAAACGAAGCTTCCTTTAAAAATACATGAGATTTATCATTATCAAAATAACTCTAATAATTCTCTAATAATTCTGATGACGAAAAATAAAACATAATTAAACTGTATTATTCAAATAACAATAATGCAAAATTGCAATAAGTGCAAAAGTTCTTCAGGAATATCGGCAAATTTATTTTGGAGGGCGAATCCCGTCAACGAACGCTGTAAAAAATATTATTAGAAACCTTAGGTGGCCAGAAAATATACCCGATCTCAGTCCTTTAGACATATTTATGTGGGGACACTTCAACAAAATATATTATTTAAGACCTCAAAATTTACAAGTATTGAAAGAAAAATACAGAACGAAATGTTTGACAACTCTGAATTTGTTTTAAAGCAATAAATAATAAATTAAAGCATTTTCAACTGTACCATCACAATTACTTTCATGTTATTTCGTTTTTAGGTATTCTCCTTAAGTTGTTGTAAATGTTAGTTATAAAAATCGTTGTTTGTTATTTCAACAAGTATGAATTTTAATTATTTTAAAGATTTTTTACTTTAGACATATATTTTATTCCAGCAAATTTTGATGTTGAAAGAAATATAGGAAAAGTCGTACATTTGTATTTAAAGTTTTTTTTCTATGTTTAATTATTAAACCTATAAGTGGATGTTAAAATACAAAAAAAAAACTGTAACTACATTTCGCGATGTACTAGTAACCCACCTTGTATATTAAATAAATTTATCATCATGAAGTATTAAAAAAATTATATTACAAGCTGTTTAAAATATTACGAATTTTGTTTATTCGTTGCAGAATATCATATGAGACTAGGTACATAGATATTCGTTGATTCTTTAAAATATTTTTATCAATACCTACATCATACATTTATGTAACTACAGTAACGTAAAAAACAGATATTGATAAAAAATAGTATACAAAATAAATCCGTAAGTACGCCTGGCAACATTGCCAAAGTGTATATGTTGCTAGGATACACGTAAGAATGGTGGTGTAATCTATCAGCAATTCCGAAATTTAAAACTGCTGTCCTATTCCAGTAGCGGTCTGAAGCGAAGCTAAATTGTCTGTGATCTATCCAAATGCAAGAGACTCAATAGCCAGTATATCCATATCATTTATCAGTGATTTTTTTTTTTTACTAAATATTTAGTAAATTAAAAACCAAGTCTTAGTAACATATTGCTGAGTAATAGTTAAATTTAAATCATATCATATACAGAAAATGCCCAATATTGACTGAAAATATACTCAATAATTTCACACAATGAATTCACTCAGCTTTCACTCAGATCGATTTTTTTGCAGTGTGACATGTTCATTAACTGCGATGCTCTCGGAAAGCGTTGCAATGGTTGCCTACCCGTATTTTGTTTACGTGGCTTTCTAACACATCCTGGATGCCGGCTCGAACAACGGGAACAGAAAAATGAGGCATCGGGAGGGATAGTCCTATAAACTAAGAACCTCGAGTTTTCTTTGGAGAATTTGCCTAGATACTGTCTTGTCAAAGAACCCAATGGTAGCCCAAAAGAGACTCTAGATAAATATGTTTGACTGATAGGCCAAGAAGGACAAAATCCAGACGAGGAAAGCCCTAAATCGGTAGGCAACTAGATAAGGCCCTGTTTATTTCCTCTTATACAAAAAATTGATAATAATCCCCAGTGAAAGAATCTACATATATTCTTAACTCAATTTCTGTGTCAGGTGCCCTTACTGGGTAGTGGCAACTACATATTTACATTTTAGAAGAAACCTATTTGATGATTAGTAAATATACAGGGTGTCTCATAATTAGCTGCCAACCCTGAACAGGCCGATTCTATGATCAAAACTAAGTAAAAAAGTTCATATGAACATCGGTCCGGAAATCCTTCCTAAGGGCATAGGGACCTATTGAAGAGGGAGGAATGGAAATATTTTTTGCAATATCTCTCAATCGCGTTGTGATAAATGAATGAAATTTGGTATACACAGCTAAATTTTGATGAGCAATTTGACGGACTAATCCATTTATTTCCACAAGGTCCATTGGGGTGGGTACGGGGGGGCCCTTGGTACTTTGCGTGTGTAACTTTTTCATCTTTGACTTTTTAACAAATTGGACAGCAAATTCCGTTTTCCCGAACTGTTTTACGTTAAAAAGGTACTCTTGTTTCAAATCGTTATCTTTAACGGTTTCTGAGAAAATCGCTCTTGAATTAATCCCACTTTGGTCAATTTCATAGTAATTTAAACAAAAAATAATAATAATAATTTAATACGTAATCAGTAATACACATTATTGATGTAGAACAATTATGATATGATGATTTGTTTATGGCTTTTGCGATGGTAATGCTGCGCGGCAGAACGCGAGTACGGCAGAAGGTTTCCAAACAGAAGGCTGACATCAAGGAGGACATTCCTCACTGTATTCCGCAATTTAGCTGCAACCGTCACTTTTCGAAGGGATCATAAGATGGAAACTTAATTTTGATAACAGACAACAAGCTATTTTAAAAACTGTTCAAAAAACCCTCCACCTTCTCTGATACAAAGTCTTGCCCTACGTGTAACACTTCTCGAAGCTATTAAGATGCTAAAACGGTTTTGACGAATTTCATTGGCTGCATCATTGATACGCTGCAGCAATTCCTCACGGGTATCGACTTCGGTGGCGTAAACTTTTTGATTTAGATATCCCCAGAAAAAGAAGTCCAGCGGGGTTAGGTCGGGAGAACGCGGCGGCCAAGCTACCGGTCCGTGCCTCCCTATCCACCGTCCAGCGAAATTTTCGTTTAGGAAATTTAGAACATTGCGACCACTATGTGCCGGGGCTCCATCGTGTTGAAAAAACATGTTACGTCGTAAATTTAGAGGCAGATCATCGAGAATTTGGGGAAGATTTTCTTGAAGTAAGTTTAAATAAAGATTTGAATTGAGACGTTGTGGAATTTCAATAGGTCCAATCAGAGTGTCGTGAATTATTCCCGCCCATAAATTTATGGAAAACCGTTGCTGGAAGTTTGTTCTCCGAACAACATGTGGGTTCTCTTCTTCCCAATAATGAGAATTATGAAAATTTAATTTTCCATTTCGGGTAAAAGTAGCTTCGTCACACCACAAAATTTTGGAAGCTTGCTCGTTGTCCAGCGACAAAATCCAGCGACAAAATTGCATACGTGGCGCAAAATCTTCTGGTATCAAGCCATGTACACGTCGATAGTGATAGGCATGTAGACCTTGTCGCTTTAATATTCTTCCAACCTGAAATGTTAGTAGCACATCTAATCAATTCTGTTAAGGAAATCTTTAAGATATGTAGTACCGTTGGCCGAGGAACATTTATTTGCCTTGAAATGTTCCGTATGCTAGTCGTAGGATCTTGTTCAATAGCGTCAAGGACCTCCGCTTCCCTATTAATCCTGGGACGTCCTTGACCCGGTGCCTTTCGAAAAGTGGCGGTTGCAGCTAAGTTGCGGAATACCGTAGGGAATGTCCTCCTTGATGGCAGCCTTCGGTTTGGAAACCTTCTCCCGTACTCGCGTTCTGCCGCTGCAGCATTACCATCGCAAAAGCCATAAATAAATATCATATCAACTAACTCTTGTCCCGTAAACTCTTCCATTTTTTTCGCTTAGAACTATTAAATTGGCAATCGGGTTGACAATACTTTGACATAAG